TATCATAAATAGGTACTACTTAAAATGGTGTTTGATCTGTAATTCAGAAACAGCTGAGTCGGAAACGATGCTATGAAATGATGTGCGCGTTGATAATAATATGTATTATAATTTTTTTTACTGAAATTAGACTACCGGCTGAACAGCGTCGGTTACCATACCATTTTGCCAATGATTTGATTCCTATTTAATTTCTTTTCATTTTATTTTCGATCGAAATAGGTTAAGTATTTACTGTGTAAACTGGCAAACGCAGACATGTTTTTAAGTATATTTTCTCTCTCATTCTTAGTGTGTATGTGTGGGTGTGTACTAGGAGAATAGAAAAAAAAAATAGAAAACATAGGAGATAGGTAGTGTGCCATTACTCCTGGTAAGGTCATTAACCTAAAATAGTGATGTGACATAGCACACTCGATGTATTTATTAATTATTAAAAATTTGCCTTTTTACTGAAAGTTAAAAGTTAATGCAAAGGTTTTGAAAATTTGGCAGAGTACTGTTTATATGATATACTTCAACACCCTTCAGCTATAACGGGTATTTTTGTAACACCCGGTATATAATGACCAAATATCACAAAAAAAGGGGAAATAACTTTTACACACATGGTAATATTCATTCGGTGTTTATCAGTTTTGATTTTAATACTGCAAAGAAATTCGACATAACAGTCTCAGGCCGGTACGTCGCATTTTGTAATAATTTTGCGTTTATATTAATCGTTTTTATTGAAATAAGATAATAAATGTATGCTTCAAAATTATAAAATCTTGATTCTTTATCAAGTAGTCATTATTCTTGTATGAATTTAGTTTCATAAAATTATCGTAGATAGGAGAAATTCACAGTTAACTTCGAACAATATTTGTTTTTTATATATTTGATTTTTTTTTCTATATTTTATCAGTGTTATTTCGAAATCACTACAAACTATACGACTATATAAGAAATATAATTCTATTTTTTTATTTCATTTGTTTAGAACAGTAGCTCAATCCAGGCTCTCAAAAAGTGTCTTCGCGTACTATTTTATGAAAATCGTTCTCTGCTTTTTTGAGTTTAATTAAAAAGTTGAACAAAATGTCAAAAAAATCATGACTCTCTCATAAACAAATAAGTACTTACATACTTAAATTTGTTCACCAACCCAGGATTCGAACCAGGTTGACGATGATAATTATTGTAATCTACCTAATAATTAGAAAAAACTAAATTGACCTACCTTAATATTTTTTCTCTTATTTATGTCGAAGAGATTCCATTTATTCCATGCCCTTACAACTTAAACTATGGTTACACTACACATTGCGAAAAATGCAATAAATTAATAAATTTCTCTACTAATTTTCTCGCTAATTCGGCGGTTCTCGCAAATGAAATGAGCTAACGAATTCAATTACTTAAAAAGAAGAAATGAGATCAATCACTGACCGATACTTACAAGTGATTTAGAGATCATTTCTTTTTAAGTGCGAGCGCCCGGACGGCTATGTCAAAGGCAGCAATTACTTGCCTATGACACGCACAGGTACACCGCCACTACGCCGCGCTTCATTACAAATGAACTTACACTTTATTGACTTGAAGAGTATTTTGCTTCAAATGCGGGCGACCGGGCGGCAATATGTCAAAGGTTAAAGACTCTCCTTGGATTAGAATTTGCCGCGCGCGTGTTGTATTAAATAAAATTGTCATTTGTGTGGTATTACTACAAGTCATTTTAGCTTGCACATTATGAGAGGTGTGACAAGCGCCGAAAGCGTAATGAAAGTAAAACAATGATTAATGTCGATGACTATTTTTATATTTAATTTTGCACATACGTATTTATCGTAACAAGTATATGAAACTGTATAATGTCGTTAAGTTCCATGAAATATCTAAATATTAGGCGTTCGACTGGCGCCCGGGTGCACCGCACCCCTTGCACCCCTGGGTAATGACGGCCCTGCTAATAACTACTTTATTATAAAGAAAAGGTTTCAAATCAATGCATATATTCACAGATCAAACTAGGGTTGCCAGATGGTCGGGATTCGTATGATGTCCAGAGTCCCGAAAAACCAAACATGTCCCTAAAAAAAATTCTTCAAAAATGTAATAAGTAGTTATATTAGCTATTTATAGTAGCTACTTGCTTTTATTTTAAAATTTAATTGATAACATGTATTTTTTCATTAGTATTTTCTTGTCCTGACTGTGATCCCAAAATCCCGATCTTTTCGAATTTTGCCCAGATATTTTAATCGCTCCATCCGGCAACCCTAGATCAAACACTTGGTCGTAACTGAGGATTCGCATACGCGTATTACTACTTTTGTTAAAACGATCTATGCAGAATCATAGATGCTTGGCTACAGGTTACTGTTTTTCATGCATCTATTGGAGGTTATCTGTGGTGCCTAACCATTGTTTATATTTAATTTTATCATTGTAATTATGTCCATATATGAATGGATATCCAAATAAATTATTTAATTTTTTAAGGTTTACACGGGAGTAAATTTTTTTTTAGATAAAACAATTTACGGTAATCGGTCTAATCTTGTTGATGGTATATTATATACTTAATTAAAGTACATACATACCAGCATATACAACAATTATTTCTGCTTTTGGTTTTGAGATTACTCCTCCTTTATCGGAGGAAAGCCTTTACTAGGCTGTTAATAATTATGTTTCTTTTAATATTTTATTTTGTACATATGGTTTTCTAAAAAATAAATTTATTAGTTGAATGCAGTAGCCCAAACCACTTGGTCCCAAAGTTGAGTGGACTAAAAAATCTAGACATATTTAATAGACCTAGCATTGAAAAATTTTAGCTCTGTCGTTTGGTGTGGAAGCCCTGAAATCACCTATCTTAATGTTGGCTTGTGTTGAACAATACCTAGAGCCAAATGAAGCAGTTTTGTTGGCACGGCTTGAAGAAGAATATCAGGTATTTGTAAACATATTATACATAAAATTCAATTAACATTTCTTTCTTTTTTACCCGACTACAGCGGCGAGGCAAAAAGGGGGGTTATGATTTTGGCCAGTATGTATGTAAGAATTTTCATCTGTTCCCTTGTAACTTCGAAACTACTCATCGTAACTTAAAAATGAGGTATCATTAGAAGCGTCTTAGTTGTCCGCGTGCTATAGTATAGATTATGTGACATTATTGTGTTGCCAGACAGATTTTAAAAAAAACAAATTGAATATCATACATACATATCGACACTGGAAAGCAAACACGTAGTAACTCACAAAACCAAAATTGTTCCTGCTCTAAAGCAGGAAAACTTTTATTTTATTTGATAAATAATTCCTGTAAACATCCATGGTAACAAATAAGTCAATTTATACGGAAAGAAGATATATTTTTTGGATAAATATAAATATTTTCCACTCTAAATATCCATTTTGATTTTGCAGGTTACTACGTGTTTGCCTTCCTGCGTCGATATATATATATATTGTTACAAGATAAATATTAATATCTATTGCAAAGAGAGTCAAACAGAAACAAAAATAAATCATATCATCTTATTTTAATTAGTTATAATTGTCTTGCATTTAGTCTTGATTGAAATCATTGTTACCCTATTGAAACTACTTAGAAATGTCCACTATATGTATAGGAAATGTATACTATTATTATTATAGCTAAGACTCAAATTAGAGAATACAATTAGTGCAACATGTGCGGACGTTACAAACCTATAGCATATTATTTGTTTTTGTAAGACTATTTTGCACCCCTTCTGTCTCTATCTGTAATGCACCTGGTCCAGAGGTTTGTCTCGTTTTCCATTATCTTCAGGTGCAGCTTTCCTTGTTTAGTGGGATGTAAAGCGCCTATATTCAGGTTAACTCGGGCTGAGAATTATCCTTATACTAAAATCAAAATCCGTTCGGTACTTTTTTGCCTATATTTTAGTATTTTTAACAAATATCCATCCTAGCAAACTTTCGCACTTATAATACTATTAGGACTTAAAATATTATTTAATTGATCTATTTAATTTTTATTGTAACAGTTAACATGGTGGGGGCGTGTTCCATGGGCACACGAGTTAAATCAAGCTGAATTGACTGCGCGGGTGTCGGCCGCACTATTATTCATTCAATGTTCCAGCGAATCTTATTCGTCAACAGCGAAGACGACCGGCTCCTTTAACGAACAAACTATACATTAATAATACAACATCTGCGAATCAAAGAAGATTTCGACAGACATTGCATATTTTTTATTCTAAATTGAGATCCAAAGGGACATTTGTAAATTGTTTATTTAATTTTTTGTTCCAGTTTTTGTATAGTTTAATAAAGAAACTAGTTGATTATTAGTTAAGATTTTAGTCTATTTTTACCGACTTCAATAAAAGGAGAAGGTTCTCAATTCGACTGTATATTTTTTTGTTTGTTAACTCATAACTTTTTACTGGGGACCAATTTTTTATTTGAAAATTGGTTCTTCCGGTGTGGTCCCATTTCAATTTTCAGCATAGTACTTATCAGATTAGGAGGTTTTAGGTATACCTATTAACAGACTAAAAAAATTAAGGCTGGCACTTTAACACGCTTTGATGCGGTTTTCAGAAAAGTATCGTTAATGTTACCTATTATATAAAATATCAATATCACTTAAAAGCATGATATAAATACTTATCTCAAAAGCCTACAAAATTAATAAACAACCTACAGAAAACCTCCGCCGTACATTAATAGCATTTTCATGAATAAGTCTCTTTTGAGATAAGTATTATTTTTCAGTTTGAAGTTGGCTCTATTTTTTTACTATATTCAATATACATAATTTGGATTTATTAAAATCGACGATGTGCGGAAGTATTGTAAGAGTTCAAATCCGGCATAAAGCCAAAATTTTAAGTAGGGTCGGAGCGAAGAAGAATGAAATGAAAATAGCAAATCGGGAGTCGCGAAGTTACGCTAAATATAACTGTAGGGAGAAGCCGCGCGCGCGCTCCGTCTCAGCGCGACCTCGCTTTGTTGCACTCGGGTCGCGCAAGCGTGTGCTCGCTACGATGATCGTTTTTAAAATCGAAAGTTATTCATAAGCTCACTATTTAACGTAAACAATACCATAGTCTTTATGTAAATAATGATTCATTTAGTTTTGCAACTGACCTGAAATTAACCGTGTGTGATATAGTTTCTATAAAAGGTATCCAAATATAATTACTCCGTAGGTGTGAGAAATTGAGACTGATATGCTCTAGTTTAAGATTTGCAGCTGTCTTCGATTTTCACACGTAAGTATGCTAAACATTGATTTTATTATTATTTATAGATACTAATTAAAACCTCTATGTTTATCGATGCCGTCATTTTAATAAATTTACCTAGTTTATTGTCTTAAAAATTAAAAGAAAACAGTCCTTTGTTCCTTTTGAACCTTTTTAATAGATATAATATTTATATATAAATATCAAAACATATATTTTTTTGTTATTACTCTATGTTTTGTTATTGTTATTTTTTTATTTATTTTATGAGGTACAAATCAAAAGAAGCGCTTAATATTAGTCGTTAATAAACAATGCATGTAAGTAAACCTCATTATGAATGTAAAAACTTACTAAATACTCATACTTATAATAACCCTCTTGTTCAAAAAAATAATTTCCATGAACTCCGAGGCATGATAAATCTATTATTATATTTGTCGAAAATGAAAATATTTTTAAAATTAAATGACTACTTGAATATATAATTTATGAATAAAATAACATCTTTCAGATGTGATGAGTGGCGGCGTAGAGACTGGGTCTACTCGCCCACGCCCTCTATCCGGAGGATTCTGGACGCTCCTCTCATGGCTGCGCGGTGAGGATCACTTGACATCCAGCGAGAGTATTTCCAGCGTCGGCTCTGACAGCACCGCTGTCAGTTTTGCATTTTTAGCACCGGCATATTATCACGCTGGTGCAGCGCCTCTGGTATTACCGCCACCAGGGCCTCCCACTGATTCATACAAAAAAAGAGTACGAGAACGAAATTTAAGGCGACAGTACGACAGAGATATAACACTTCATCGTAAATACGGTTTGTTGAGAGGCGAGAGTGCCGTGAATTTCGACGTGCATACTCTGCCATCACCTCGAAGGGTCGCCACTGTAAACGACAGGAAAGATAGAGACCGCAGAGCTGCGAGCGAGTGCCTACAGCGGAGAACTGCCCACGTACCAGGCAAACGACGTGCCCCGCCTCCTCCTACACGAACGACAATTGCATCGAATATTGTAATCCATTCCGGCACCACTAACCGACGTCACTCAAGAAAGCGTCCTGCACCTAAACCTCCTATTCAAGTTACGGAAAAATCTAAAGAGAACGATAATATTGTTTTTTATAACAATAACAAAATTAACATGAACCCATCATCTAGCCCAGATGTAAATCCGTTGTCCAGTTTGGGCTTAGATTGTAAACATGAAAAATATATTAAGAAGGAAGTTCATTTAAAGGATAAAGTAAAAGTGAGGACAGAGAAAAGCTTTTTGAAACAAATTTTTGAAAATAAGAAAAGAAATTCAAGTGTTGACAAACCTTTGATAAAAATATTACCCAGCATAAGTGAACTAGATAAACAAGCTGCTGAAATCATCGAAACTTCTAGGGCAAAAAACAAAACTCAAAGAAATCAGCATAATTATAAATCTGAAGACAGTATTTGGTATTGTATGAAGTGTTCGAAAAAATATGATAAATCTATGGACTTTTGTTTAATATGCAAAATTAAAAAAGACGTGTCGTGCACACCTGGAGCCAGGGATGCAAGAAAAAATGCAACAATTTATACACAAACGGAACAACAATCTATTAGTCCATGTATAATTAAAAATAAGGAGATGGAGGAAAAACAAAAGTTAAAAGAAATGTTGAAAGAAATGAAAGATTCTCTTCCAAAACGAACCAAATCTGATGATTTATCAAAAGATAATAAAATCCAAAGCAAGTCAAATTTGCCCCTTACTCCTAGTAATAAAATAGTACTGTCACTGGAAACTCCTACATTACCAATAGGATACAGCAATGAAAGAAACAAAGAATCTATAATCGAACCAAGTGTTTCTAATCAGTCTTCCAAAAGTAATTTTAGTGATAACCTAAAATTAAATGAAATTAATATACAACGTGTATCGAAAGTTGATGAAACAAGGACTGAAAATAGGAAGGCGCTCGATACACCACTGAAAATTTCTTCTTTATTGAATCCTATATACATACCGAAACTGAATAGTTCACACCAAGAACGATCGGAAAAAATTCTTCCATCATTAGAAGTTAAACCTATGCTTGAAAAGAAAGAACCACCTCCAACCGACCAAATATACATAAGAGCAGCAGATGCTGTCCGTGAAATACTGTTAAATACAGCAGCCATTCAATCACCAAAGCCATCATCGCATGTTCCTAAACATGTCCAAGAAAGCACAAATAAATTTGGTACTGATAATGTACAAAATACTTCTAGTGTCGGTATTAAGAATCTATCGAATGTTGAGAAACACCAATTTATAAACACTGAAATGAATGACATAGAAAAATTAAACAATCACTCCAGACGCAGAAATCTAGTCAACCAATTAGAAAAGTCAATAGCAAATGGAGATGAAGGCGCTGCTGCTGAAGCAGCCAAGCAATTAGCTCAGTTGCGCTTATCCTGTTCCGTGCTATCATTTTCATCACAAATTTTACAAAATAAAGAAAGTCCTCCGCAAATTATATTGAAAAATAAAAATATGCCTAATGCGAACAATAAGGAAAATCATCTTTCATTGCTATCCAAAGAAAGTTTAGGTAAATCAGTCGCACTTCCATCTAAACGGCTTACAGAAAATAAAAAAACTTTAGAAAGTCATGATGCTTCAACTTCCACGAATAATATTCCAATAAAAAAAAATAAGATACTTACAAAAGTTGAAACGGAAACGAAAAATCAGTCTTATAAGGTTAAAGAACGTCCAAATGATGTAAAAAATGAAGCTATCCCCACCATTGCCGTTGCAGCGATCAGTCATGATGTCAGTCGTAACTCTTTACCAAAATCTGATATTGAATTTGTCCAAAACAAAAATTATAAAAAAGATACTAGTAGATCTGAACCCGACGCGCAGCCTTCAACTTCCAAAGAAAAGAAAGATGAAGACAACTTTAAATCGTAAGTATAATATAATTAGGATCCATTTTTTAAACCATTATAAATCAAATATCGACTCAAAAAATTATGTATTGAATTAAAGATTCAATAAATCTAGAATGATGACGTTAACGTTTCAATTATAAAATTATAAGAACTTAAGCGCCTTTTGTTGTCAGACAATGGACACGTTACGTACCTTCAATGTTTAATATAGCAGTGAAGAACCTGTGACTGAATGTATTATATAAGCCGTTTCGCGTTTTAGGATTTCTGTGTGGATAGAAGACAAAGATAAGGCTCATGGACCCATCCGCATGCGGATCGCAGGTAATGCCGTCGTTGGCGAGTTGCGACGCCAAGCGGAGATAATATTAGGTCTTCCGATGCGCCTGCAGCGCTGGATTGTTGGCAAAGAGCTGTGCAATAACGACGAAACCACTCTCGTATCGCTTGCTGGGCTGAATCTTGATGCACCATTCTATCTTTGTGTAGTGGAAAGTGGTGAGTTTTATAGATTTTTATTACGTGTATTAACTGAACATCTATGTGATCTTGGGTCCTATTCCGGAGCCTGTCATTGTAGAAACAGATTATTTATAATATTTTTGTGTTATGATCATGAACACAATAATATGTTAATATAAAATAATAATAATATATTATTTAATAATTTTATAAATCGATAAGTTTTGCACAAGCACCTGAGATGGTCGATTTGGTCTCTATCCTATATTAAAAAAAAAAAATATTGCCGAAAGTGTAAGATGTGATTCCAAAAACTTGCTTATTTATGCATATTTTCAGGATGCACAAAATTAAAGCAATATGAATTGATTCTAGCTATTTTACAGATATGCAAAGTAGGTAACTAGGTGTAGTAAACTTTGTATTACAGAATGATGATTGTAGTTGATATAGATCAACGGCCTATATTTTGGTAGTTATTATTATCACTTATGCATACTACTACACTATATATGTATTCTTCAATTGTTTTGGGCTTTAAAATTTTAGTTATTAAATTCAAAATCGTTTGCAGAAATTTAACATTGATCTGACGTGAACATTGATTTTATAAGTTTTTGTCATAATAAAACAATCTTCTTTATTCTTAATTTCAGATAAAAATATACAAAACCACATTCGCGATTTATGTCAAGTTGAAAATGAAAAAAGTACTAAGAATGCTAATGGAGAAGAATCAGGGGGCGTTTATAATGAATTAGTAAAATTGGAACAACAAGCTCTTGTTCCTAATGCTGAAGCTTTCGAATGTGAAATTTGTATGGAACAATGTGGAGCTGGTAACGGAATTGTGTTACGCGAATGCGTCCATTCTTTTTGTAGACAATGCCTGATAGATGTTATACGCCACTGTGAAGAACCAGCAGTATCATGCCCTGCTATGGGATGCCGTGGCTTGTTACACGAACGAGAAATACGGGCACTGGTTAGTCCTGAGGAGTACCAAAAATGGTTAGATCGAGGGTTAGCAGCGGCTGAGAGTGGAACTAGAAATGCATTTCATTGCCGAACACGAGATTGTACGGGCTGGGCCCTTTGTGAGACTGGCGCTCGACACTTCCCCTGCCCCGTTTGCAAGCACGTGAATTGTGTGCCTTGTCAGGTAATAAAACCAACAATAAAAAGAACAACATTAGTGCGTTCGGTCTGCGATACGGGTGACAGAAAATGTATTATCTCAAGCTTCTCCGTGCTTCGGAAGGCACGTCCGGAAGTCGTCAATACCCACCACTTCGCACTGGGCCCGCGTGGTGGGTCATGTGGCTCTTTCTCCATATTCCATTTGATCATTCCTCTCCCCATTCGATTTGATCGTTCCTCTCCCTATTCGATTTGTTCGCCTCAGCAGTGGAGACATTAATAGGCTGGTGATGAGCAAATGCGTTGTTTCGGCATCTGTTTAAAGGATATATCAGTTCCTTTCACAATAAGTATTAAAAAAAAACGAAAACAGTAAAAAAGTACCTCCACTAGATGGCGACACTAGCAAAAGTTAATTTTTGCAGGAAAAGAATGGACCAAAGACAGTCATTTCCGTTCCTATTGACTAACATATTAAAAAACTGAAATTTGAAAAGTTCGAAACTTAGATATCAATACAAATACGAAAAAAAAGTACAAGTTGAATATGAGTTGTTTATTGAGTTTTGAAAACTAATTTACTTTTAAACATGAAAGAAAACTGGAAAGGTTGTTATGGAATAATCAAGAATGTACAGTGGCGACATCTATTTAGATTTCGGGAACTAATACTTTTTTAAATACTTCCTCATTATTACGTATCCAACATGACATGAAAATTTTACGTTTTTAATAAATTTATATAATATATATAAAATTATTGCACCCGAGCCGATTTAACTGATTTTGTTTTGAAATGTTTCTCGTAGTCTGGGTATGTTTAAACGGTGGTCATCGAGTTTTAAATATATTCCTTTACGCTCTGCGTGTGAAATTATTCACAACCTACAGTCCAATTCTGTTGATGTTTACGTAATAACCGCATATCAATGGAATCACATCTACCTCCATTTTGTCATTGTACTAATACCTAAAGTCCAATGTCTTCATTACACATCAATGGTGACAGATATAGGTATAATAATATTGGACTTCAGGTATCGACTCAGACTTTAGGTACCGGTATCATCTTCAGCCCTTTTACGTCCCCACTGCAGGGGCTCTGGCCTTCCTTATGGACGGTTAAGGAGGATGGGCCATAACCCTCCACGCTGGCCCAATGCGGATTGGAGGGTATTAACGACTGCCAAATCAGCCGGTACCAAGGGCTTAACGCGCCTTCCGAAGCACGGAGTAGCTCGAGATAATAATTTTTTGGTCACCCATCCCGTGACCGACCCTTGCGAAAGTTGCTCAACGACAACGATCGCGGGCCGCGGCGCTTATCCACTACGCCGCCGAGCTACTCACCGGTACCGGTATACCATAAACTAAACATTACTAAAAATTGCTAGATACGACTAGGATTCATTTCTAAGAACATTATTATAAATGTATCCAATTTTGAAAGTCACAGAATCTCATCAAAAATGTTAAACACATTACATAGACCCTTGCGGGTTGCGGTTTTTGTCTAAATTAATATAAACATCTTGTTTTCCTTCGGTTACTATGTTGCCTTTTATTTAAATTATTTGTTTATATTTCAGGCTATACATGAAGGTGAAACTTGCGAGGTGTATCGAACGAAACTGAAAGAAGCGGCCGTTGACACAACAGCCCAAACAGACGAAGGGACACAGGCATTAATCCAGTCATTGATAAATCGCGGTGAAGCTTTACAATGTCCAGAGTGTAATGCAGTTATTACTAAGAAGTGGGGCTGTGACTGGGTGAAATGTTCTGCGTGTAAGACGGAGATATGTTGGGTGACGCGCGGCCGGCGCTGGGGCCCCGGCGGCCGCGGCGATACCAGCGGTGGTTGCAAGTGTGGCGTCGACGGCAAAAGATGTCATCCTTCTTGCGGTTATTGTCATTAAAATATATTTATTATTGTGATGTGATAGGAATCAGCTTTATTTAATTTCGATCACAATTTTTATCAAATCTTAACTCGTACTTTTGAAACATAGACTCAATACTTACTCAATGTCAATTAGTTTATTTAATAACCACGCAATCGCAAATCGCTCGATCGCGATTGCAGTCAAGAGTAAGCTAAGCATGTAAGTAAGGAATCAAGCTAACCATCCTAATGTAGTTATGCTTGTGTATATTGTGTTAACGCACGCAATAGACGTTATCTATTTATTTCGTTAAAAGTTATAAGTATTGTCACACAGGTTTTGAATAGCATGACAAATAAGGGTCTAATAAGCCAAGAATTCATTACAATATCCAAGAGGGCGCTGCAGTATGCGTATGTAACTACTGAAAGGCAATTTTTCAATTTCGTTTATGTCACAGACATTGTAAATAGAAAAAGTAGTATCATAACTATGTAAAAAGTTACCTGTTACCTATTCATTTAAATCCACTTTCTGGTAGCAGTATTTTAAAGTTGTGTGGATAATTATTAAAACTAATCTGATGAATAAGATATTGATTTAAGAAAATGTTTTCAAGTGGTTGTTGTAGGTTAGGTGTTTAGGGGTAACAGGGACACTATGATCAAGGAATCCTTAGACAAAGAATTTACTGTAGTACAGGCTATGGCTTATGGCTTGGTAGGTCAGTCTATATTAGAATCTAAGAGAAAAAAATTTTATAACACATTAAATTTGCATTCACAATGATAAATTAAAAAGAATTCTTTTGGCTGTTTGGTGGATATCTGAAAATTTATGAAAATACGTGGCTAGTAGCACCGAAAAGAATGAGTACTTGAGAAGTTCAATGATTTCTTCTAGCTATTATAGCTATTCGAGACCCATACTGATGGGTCTTGAATAGCTTAATGGTAAAGAGCAGTCACCCAGATTGTGAAAAGTTAAGATGGGCTATCTAAGAGTCCCATCTTGGAGTACCTGGGACTGGTGAACTTTTAAGTATTTTTGATATAATACTTGTTGATAGAACAAAGAACATTATGATTAATGAAAGTTGCTTTAAAAATCCACTGTCCCTGACACTCAGGAAATAGGGACTCGAACCCATGATTTTCCACAATCTAATATATACATAATACTATGATGTTTTTACAGTACTAGATTTTGTCTATTTGCTTTATATATGCCCCAAATCAACTTAAATATAAATAGATAATTCTTCATCTACCTATGTATTTAGCATTATATGAATAATAAAGAAAAATATGGGTCAACTTTGTACAATATTTTTTTGACGTCTTACTCCCCCCCCCCCCCCTCATTTTGATTGATTGATTACCATTGTAATTTAAATACACTGATAATTGATAAACACATACTCCTGAGGGCAGGCAAAAAACTGATCCAAAATAATGACCGTGTTGAAAGTAAATAATACAAATTGCGCTCTGTCAATAGAATTCTGTATTATTTCTATGGAGTACTGACCTGATTACTGTACAGGATGGGATCAGTGACCAAGAGCATTCCGTAGAAAAAAATGCATAGCACACCTACCAATTACAAAACACTACTTAGGTAACATACATACTTCTATTGCAAAAGCATATTTCTTATTACATAGGAACACAAAAAATTACTATTTTAGTAGCCCACCAAATGTGCATATGACTTAAAAAGAACATGACAAGTATATCAACGATTTTCCATTTGGTACTAAAGAGGCACAACTGAGCATTTGAATTTATGTCATGCCCCTAGGTCTTATTCTAGGTGTTCAATCCAGCATGCATTAAAGATTGAAAAGGAATCATTTTACATAGCTCACTATCAACTTTTTACTAGTCATATAAACAAAATTAAAACTTACCTTTTACTGATTGACTAGAAAACTGAATATAGTTGTTTAGGATCCCAAGTAACATTAACACAAGTCATATGTCTATTTTTTTATTTATAATTAAAACCAGACACAAACATTGACCAAAACAGTAAATTACTGTCCCACTTCATTCAGTCTTCATACATACATTACACATTATCACTAAGAATTAATAACGTCGCATGCCAGGTGGTCCCCTTCCACCAGGACCTCCCCTACCCATGCCAGGAGGTGCACCCATCATTCCTGGAGGAGGGCCTCCCATCATTGGACCTCCACGCATTTGTGGTGGTGCAGAAAGTTGGCCTCTAGATCCAGGTGCCATGTGTTGTTGTGAGGGACCTCCTACACCTCTAGCTGGACCTTGTAGCCCAGGAGGAGCCCCGCCAGGACCAGATCCACGGCCCGCAGCTCGACCACCGCCTGGCCCTCCCATGGCCCCAGGAAGAGGAACGCGGGGCAAGCCCTCTTCTGGAGGCGGTGGGCCTTCAATAGTCAACGAAACTATGTTTTCACCCCTTAGTAATACGAAACCCAGGGTTCTTTTCTCTTCTCTATCAACATTTTTACTGTTTTTGGATTTAATTTTCCTGAACTCTTCGCAGTCCCCTAATATGAGATTCATATGTTTATCGAACGCTTTAAAAGTTCCAATGAAGGTACGGGAATCTTGCAGTATTACCCTTACTCGGTAATTGATATGCTGTTGCATTTTATTATTCTTTCCAATCGTCTAAAATCAAAAAGACATAATTAAAAATAATCGGCAAAATAGGAGTTATATTTACCAATGTAAAATCCATGAAAGTACAGAACTATTCCGCAAAATATACTTAAGAATATATTCAATAAACTCTACCAAAAATAACTAGCATATACTAACCATTTTGATGAAAGGATTTATTTAGATTATTTAGATGTTTGTAAGATACTACAATCGTGTCAATTCGTTTATTTTACGGCGTCCTCTCCGCCTCTACTCTCTTTCTTCGTCCAAAAACAAACACGATAGGGATGTGAAAAGGAATCAATTTAAAATTGAACATTTCAATATAAAATCAATAACAAAACGATAATATATTCTAATCAACTTTATTTAGAAAATTATCCATTCTTTGTCTCTAATGATAATAAGTTTAAAAAAGGCAAACGTGTACGTAAATGTGTCAAGCTCGTCAACGGGTGCTGCTAGTGAGGGTGATACTGCACTAGCCCATTTTTTTCGCCCATTTTACGAACTATTGGCATAGTTTTCGACTTTCACTAGTACTATGTTACAACCTAGACTGCATTGATTTTGATATTTATATTAATATCATTTGACATGAGGAAGCAACATGACACATAAAAATACAAGCTCCAATTTTTTGTTTTTCATTCTAAACCTCAATTCGGATTAAAAATACGAGTAGGTAACCAATAAATTGGCTCATCACTAATGGTGACGTATAAACCAAACATCGTTCCTTTACACGTAACACGATAAATAACTTAAACTTACGATACAAATTAATAAAAATTATTTGTCGATTTAAATACATAAAAATTAATTTTAAAGTTAGATATTATAAGAAACACGAAAATATGTGATATTTATTGATTTTCCATACTCAATGAGAAAGTATTAAAAAGATAACATTAGTTCCCGAAACCAAACTAGATGTCGCTACGGTACGTTCTTGATTTCTCCATGACAACCCTTCCGGTTTTCTTTCATGTTTAAAAGTAAATTAGTTTTCAAAACTACATAAACAACCATATTCTATTTGTACATTTTTAGTATTTGTATTGATATCTAATTTTCGAAATTCTCAAATTTCAATTTTTTAATATGTTAGTTAAAAGGAACGGAAATTACTATCTTTGGTCCATTCGTTTCCAACAAAAATCAACTTTTGCTAGAGTCACCATCTAGTGGAGGTGCTTTTTTAGTGCTTCTTTGTTGAAAAAAATATCAGCGTGGCATTCTGGCTGTTTGTTTAACAGATTATATTGTCTTTGAAGTCTATTTAATGTAGCATTGTGGCCCAGGTTACTTTTACTACTCTTCATCGAAAGCGGATCATATATGCATAAACGAAGGAGCCTGAGAGGAATACTAAAGTTCAAGCGACTTAATAGAAAAGGGCAATCGATTACTCCATTTACTATTTTATAAAGAAACATATGGTCCAGAAGTGATCGTCTTTCCTGAGTCTGAACTCATCAGTACAAAAAAGGAAAGACGATCTCGGTATGAAGGCAGGTTGTTGGTTTTGTGGGTCTGATAAGAAAGATGCCACATGAACCTTTTCTGCATTCGTATAATCCGCTTAATATATATGTGGGTTCCACACCAGACTACAATCTCCAGAATTGAGCGTACCAATGTTGAAAATAGCAAAATCTTAGTGAAAAGACTTTTAAAGTCCCTAGCGTTTCTCAGCACAAAAACCCAGCATGCGAAATCCTTTTGTCACAATCGGATCCACATGCTTATTAAAAAATATTCTTTATCTAAGATTACACCCAGATCATGCACTGAATTCACCTCCCCCAATACTAAACCATTAATTTCATAAGTGTGACTCGTTGCGTTCTTGCATATAGAAATAAACCTAAACCAAACCAAATGTGCTAAAATTTATCAACGTTTAAAGTTAATTTATTATCGGCCTGGCTAAGTTGTTCAAATCTTCCCGTAGTAATGAAGAGTCTTCACTACAGCGGACTGGTATAGCTAGTTTTATATCGTCAGCATACAGGTAACAGCTAACGTGTTTAAAGACGTGGACAACATCATTGATAAATATTAAAGCGGATTGGGCCGAGGTGGGACCCCTGAGGAACGCCAGGTGTAGAAACAAATGGAGATGATGAAAAACCACCTATAGCCACTTTAGAAGTGCGAAGTTTCAGGTAAGAGGCAAACCGTTCAAGAAGCCCACTCGCAACACCAATCTGTGAGAGCTTACACAAAAGAGTTCTATGGTCGACGGTGTCAAAAGCATTCCTTATATTAGTATAAATAGTGTCAACAGATCCACGCGAATCGAGCTCGTCCGTTACTTGTGCTAGAAAAGATACTAGATTCGAAGTTGTTTATCGAGACACCAAAAAACCTGACTGCTGAGGTGAGATCTGTTGACTTATATGCCATTACAAAAGCGGACACCATAAAGACTCATAGACTTTAGAGAATACAGATAAAATTGATATGGGTCTATAGTTTTTTACAGATGAGTTATAACCTACTTTAAATATAGAGATAATAAAAGCTTTCTTCCACGCTAATGGAAATATGCTCGTTCTCGAAGATGCATTGAAAATGATGGTGAGAGGCGGAGAAAGATTAATGCTGCCTAAAATACCTTCTATATTTACAAAACCTATTTATAAATATAGAAGGTATTTTATCTGGCCTAGAAAAATAATATATTTCGTTATAACTGATTTCTAGAGTAGGCTGAGTAGGAAGTCAATCTATTATTTACAATATCATTGTAAGAACCATAAAAGCACATACCCTCTTACGAATTAACAATATAACACCAGACTCAACGTCCGCCGACGACATGCAAGTTCAGTAGCGATAGTATAATAACTGTACATGTCTTGTGATTTTAAAATTTAAAGTTATAACCTTTTAAAGCAATACGTTTCGAACGGACGTTTCTTGTTTAATTTTTAAATAAGATAATTTAATTATGACTATAAGATTTCATAATTGATATGATTAAAAAAAATAAAGCACTAAAAAAGCACCTCTCTTGATGGCGACTCAACCAATAGTCGATTTTTGCAGGAAACGAATGGACCAAAGATAGTCATTTCCATTCCTTTTAACAAACGTATAAAAAAACTGAAATTTGCAAAGTTCGAAACTTAGATATCAATACAAATACGGAATAGTACAAATAGAATATTAGTTGTTTATTGAGTTTTGAAAACTTATTGACTTTTACATAAAAGAAAAGGAACTTTACGGAAGGGTTGTCATGGATAAATCAAGAACGTACAGTAGCGACATCTAGTTTGATTTCGGGAACTATTTTTTTAAATACTTCCTCATTAGATACATATTTCCTTCTTAATATTTAATACGTTGTTCGTTCTTTTCAATTGTCAAAAAGAACTTAATTTGTCAATTTTTTACGATTATTTATTTCAATTTTTGGATTTGATCGCCAATTTTCATTGATTTCATTTTACATAGAATAATAGATAGTAGAAATTTGTTTATTTTAACTAATTTCACTCAGATAAGGCAATAATACAAGGAGAAGAAAGTAATTTCTCACTTACTCTATGGTAGCATTTATAACCAAGTGGCATAATAATCTATAAGTGAAAAAAACTATTAATGTATTGTATCGAAACAATATCAAATTTTTCGATACAATACATTTATAGAAAGAAAAAGGTTAGTTTATTTTTATTATTAATAAAATTCTAAGTGTTATTGACAAGACAAGTTAGTTTTTACTAAAAAATCATCAAACAAAACAACTCTATTTTAGCATATTAGCAGTAGGTAGCTTATTAATATTTATGAAGTGCCGGGATTTCTGTATTTAGTGTATAGCAGGGATGGCAAACCTTCATGTATCGACGTGCCATTTTTTTGTAACGAAATGTTTATAATGAGGTCATAGACGTACCATCGAATAATTTAGACTTTGTGATTATTAGGTAAACGATTATAATAAATATTATCAAATCAAAACTCTTTATCGACCATAAAAAGATACATTTTGCAATGTTTTATTTGGCAAATTTTTGTGAGTTCTGTTGTTGCGGTTGAGATGACAGCAAACTTGAATTTCGAAATTAAAGACGTGCCCAAAATATTATACCGCGTGCCATTGTAGGCACGCATGCCAATCATCCATCTCCGGTGTATGGTAATGCAATAGGGAATATGCACATTTTCGGAAAATGGTTTTATATGATAATTTACATCGATATATAACTGTAAAAAAATACCCGGCACCGATAACTAAAATTTTGTAACATTAATAATTGATGAAAATAAGTAATAGCTACGAGCAGTTTAAACACCGGAATTTTTGGCGCGCTCGTCGTAATGTAAAGTACACGACTAGAGATATGACATTTTAAATCAATATGGGTTTTGAGTGATAGATTATTATTCAATTACCTAAATCGATTAACAACTAATCGATATTTTTAAAGTATAATAGACTTTTTTAATAAGTTATATATATTCCCTATTAGTCTCTCGATAGATGACGAAATATGTATTGTTCAAGATTTAATTATGTACTTTTGTGTATAGAGATTTCTTATCTTAAGTAGTATCTTTGTTCTATCTTGTTGAATAATAAAGGATTTGTAGAAATATGTAAATGAGACGAAATGCGAGGCCATAGACAGTTACCGATAGATAAGATATATTCTATTCATCATCAGCCGAAGGACGCCCACTGCTGAGCATAAGCCTCCCCCTTAGATTTTCACGACGATCGGTCCTGCGCAGCCCGCATCCAGCGGCTTCTCGCAACCTTCATAAGATCGTCGGTCCACCTGGTGGGACTCCTACCCACTGAGCGCCGTCCGGTACGTGGTTGCCATTCCAAAACTCTTCTACTATCAGTTCTTCTCGCTATGTGTCCCGCCCACTGCCACTTCAGATGAGCAATTCTTTGAGCAATTTTAGTAACGTTACATAGTTCTCCTACGGATCTCCTTATTCCTAATACGATCACGTAGAGAGATACCAAGCATTGCTTTCTCCATTGCCCGCTGGGTGACATTGAACCTTCTTATGACACCCATAGTTAACGACCAAGTTTCGCTTCCATAAGTCATCACTGGCAACACACTGATTGAAGACTTTGGTCTTGAGACACTGTGATAATTTGGTCGCGAAGATTTTTTGTAGCTTCCCGAACGCGAGTTAATTCTCTTTCTCGAAGTTGAACTTGTCTAGCTGGACTCCGCTTTTCCGCTTTTGACGAGACGAGATGAATTAATTCTCTTTCTCGAAGTTGAACTTGTCTAGCTGGACTACGCTTTTCCGCTTTTGACAATTGGCTTTGACCAATAGACAGATCTTTCGCGAATACTTTGGAGCCTTTGTTCCGCTCAATTGCCTCTTTAATACGTTTCGTATAAATCTTATTAATTATATCCTATCAACTTTTTGCAATGGTTCATACTTAAATTTAGAGGTAAATTTAAGTTTTATGTAGGACAATTCATTGATTATGTTGAATTAATAAATTGATGACCTCATTATATTTAATTTAAATGTGCTCTTGTTTTGGAAATCGAGTCGCTAGTAATTAATTTATTTAGATGTCTGTAAAGGTGACCTATCTATTAATCTTATTAGTTTTGGCATTCATTGATATTTCTCTTATAGAAAATTAATTTGGAAAAATCACCACTCCCATATGGTATTCGAACCCATAACCTTTCGCAATCCAGCCGAGTGATCTAACCAGTGTCGGGCTGCTTAACGGTTGAAGCTATCGCCGGGATTGCGAAAGGTTATGGATTCGAATCTTGGGCACCTGGGATTGGTGATTTTTTAATTATTTTAGATGAGATAAAAAATAATACTATGAATTGAAATAAAAAATAATATTTTAATGGGTTTTTCATTACTTATGTTTAATTATATTTAAGATAAGATTAATATAAAAACTTATATAATAGTAATGACGGCACAAATGCATTTTAGACAGCTTAATAATTTATTAGTCTTTTACTCAATTCTTAGTTTTAGCTACAAGTTATTAATTGTCTCACTACGTCTACATATTTCAAGCTGAAATCAACGTATCACCTTTATTCAACAATCTATCATTCAAAATCCAAAGACAGCCTTCAAAGAGAACAAAGCCACAATGAATTATTTCATTTTTCTACCAAATATTCATTCATTACACAACAATTTAATCATAAAATATAACTAAGCTTTACGATTATTCAACAGCGGCTGGAGCAAACTGTATGACTGAAGTGTGGCGTACAATCGGAACCGGATTAGATTCCGGTTGCGGTATGAGTTTCCGTTTCCGAGGTGGTAATGAAGAGTTCGCTATAGTATATTGCACGTGAGGGGCTGGTGGTGAAGGTGAAGTGGATGGAGATGGCGTCGATGGAACCGCAGCGGTGGCGACCGGCGCCAGCGAACATTGCGATGTAGGTGGTGAACTAGGAGGTGTCGGCGGTAACTGTTGCAGGGCTGCCTCGACTAATTCACACACCACGTTACCATTAACGACCATAGGAACGGTGGATTGCATAGGCGTAGGACGGGGTGTCTCCGACCCATGTTCCTTATATATGTGAGCTTCCATTTGCTTCTTTGTATTGAACGTGCCGTCGCATACTGTACAACGATAGCAACGTTCTCCGTAATGTTGGAAGCGATGGAGTTTCAGTACATGATTATAACCAAAATCACGTAAACATATATCGCAGGTATAAGGTCGTTCACCGGTGTGCGTGCGAGAATGTACCTTCAGCTGCTTCGAACAAGTGAATCCCTTGCCACATCCAGGGGCTGGACAACGGTAAGGTTTCTCTCCGGTATGTGTGCGAAGGTGAATCACTAATTGTCCAGATTGTATAAATGTTTTGTGGCAATGAGGGCAGGCGTGCGGTCTCTCCCCTGTGTGGATTCTCGCATGGCGGTGAAGCTTCCCGGAGTGTTCGAATGCTGCATCACAAACGTTGCAACGATACGGACGCTCCTTGGTATGGATGCGGCGATGCACCTGCAGGTTTTCTTTCACACTAAACATCTTGTGGCAATATTCGCACTCGAACGGCCTCTCTCCTGTGTGCGTCCTGTAGTGGCGCACTAGTCGTGCTGGCACTGCAAAGGTCTTATGGCACACGTCGCATCGATGTGCATCTGCTGCGACGCGGTGCGATCTCGCGTGAGCAGTCAATGCACTGCGTGTAGTGAGAGTCAAGCCGCATTCTCCACATTGATGACTGCGTTCTTCTTCACCTGTTGGCCGATAAAATTTACGTTCCGAATTAGATAAATCAGAGTTCATTTCTAACTAATAAACTAAACTGTACGTCTAAGCACCACAACCGATCACAGCGTAATGTGTGTTATGTTGCGATCAGGAATATCAGGATGCGTATATAGGGCCTCACAGGGGTTTAACTGAGTCGAGGGGAGGGGTCGGAACGCAAGAGTGAATGTCCTCTTTAAGCACGTGGAGGCCTACACTGTGGTTTCGAACCGACCGAAACCGCGGTGCGGGCCTCCACGTGTTTGGGCCGCCGACCCCGAGCTGGCAATGAAACACCCTACCCCACCCCGCGCACCTCCCCATTCAAAGTGACCCACCCGATCCAATTTTAGGCCAACATTATGGTGTCTTCCAATTTAAAGACATGTTTAATATTCGTATATTAATTATGAAAAAATAAATCATATTCTTTGTTTAATTCATTAATATAATTATGTCATAATTTACTTCTTTTAATTATTTTACGCAAGTATAATAACTTTGAACATTAATTCAAAATTAGAAACAGAAACACTGCAACCCAAATTATTTAACCTGATTTTAAATTATATATTAGTAGGTAGGTATTATTTGTATATTTAATTAAACAGATCAGCTAATTCATAAGTATATTATCTAATGAGATCTACATTTTGCTTTAAATATTAAAATGATAATAAAACTAATAATAAATACATACTAACATAATTATTAAAAAGACAAAAGTTCTTAATTTGAATATGTAATGTAATTACTTTATAAACATCATGTGAAAAATAATAAACTGAATCATAAATGCTTACCTATCATTTTCCTCGTCAGAAATAACAAATCACTATCAATAGTCCGGTATAATGGCGTTGTTGTTGGTGTAGGTTGCGCACAGAAAATTGGTAAACTAAACTAACGTACACTCCGTGAAGCGTCTTGCAGGCAAATGCGCCATCCGCTAACCGCCTGCCAGAATCATTCGACGCGGAAACAAAACGAACGATCGTCACAACTGGCTTACACACACATACAAGCGTGTGACATTAATTTTTGCTTGTGGTCCTATCAGAACGTATTCTATAAAAGGTTATTTATTAAAATTGATTTTGATAACATTTATAAGTGATATCAATATCAATGTATACAAGATTATTAAATCGCACGTAAATGTAACTCATTATACTAAAGGATTGTTTTGTATAAAAAATATAGGTACTGTTCTAATAAACGAAATTATATGAATGATTTTAAATATGTACAATGTTTTTTTTTTATTTATCTCAATTTTTAGAATGATATTAATATGTTGATTTTTATAATCGTTGTTTTTAAAACCATGCCATTATAATAATATTTGTGTCTATTTGTACACGAGTAACCAATAAAACAATGCGATAAAGTGGCTCGCAGTCGTTCGTTGATGAAGGTTGGTGGCCACAACGCGCGAGACAAGTGAGCGCGAGCGGGGCTAGCGGGACGAAGTGGAGGGGGAGCTTACACGTGTTGAGGCCTACCGAGGTTTCGACGCGCGTGTGAACTCCCGACATCACAGCGCGTGCGTCTGGAGTCTCACCTCTCCACTTCCCTCCGCAACCCCACAATGACTTATATCTTCGTTTGTCTGTCTAGCTAGGGCAACATAATACCAACTATGATAGGAACGTATTGGGGGACGAAATAATTACGGTTACTTTAAATTATCTCAATAAGTATCATAGTCAGTACTGTATTATAAGGATCATTACCTATTAAAAATACATTATATATTTAATTAAATGCAAAGATAGAATTAATGAAGGGATGTGACTTGACTACATACAAGTATATTATATACATACATATATCTTACAAACTCTGTTTGTATCTTTAGTCGTAACAATCGTTTACTGTACAGCAGCATGCGTAGCATGACGAACTCGAGAACGTTTTGTCTACATCTAAATGTCACTTTTCTCGGGTGCGCTCGTACAACATCTCACTCTCGACCCGAGAAAGTAACATTTAGGTGTAGACAAAGCGTTTCTCGAGTTTGACATGCTACACGTTCTGGATAGTCTACTTTACTTATCTCATTGTCAACAGAATAGGCAATTATCTATACATACTGGTTCTCGGGAATTATACATCCAATACTGGCACAAAAATACAAGAATAGGAGATCCCGGGACTTTCGATATTTAGTTCAAGAGTAATTAAAGTGGCCAATACAAAAAATTTAAACAAAATACTCCATCGAACGACTAGACTTTTAACCTTTTTTAAGGCATGGCTACCTTTCGAATAATAGTAAAAGCCTACATAATTATTTATAGGCCATTGCTCAGACTTGGCGTTGGAGATTTAAGTTTTTAATTTAAAATAGTACATTAATATGAAGTGCCAGGGACAAAGTGGATCTTTTAAGCATTTTTCATGAAGAATAATTTTATAAAGTCTGTTATTTTCTATGTTTATAAATAAATGCGATTGGACACTTGAATTCCCTTAACTAGAACTGCTCTACTAAAAAAAATATATTTAATATCTTGAATACCTACTTTATAAGTTTTAGGCCCTTTTATTTATAACACACTTAAAACAAAAACTAGAGCTTTGATGATGAAAACAATTTGAGTTTTATGGGCTAAGTTTTATAGGCATCTGTTAAAATGCGATTTTATTTTATAATATATTCAATAGATCAGTTCTAAAAGTTTTAAAGGATTGGAAAACTGGTACAAAAAATGTGTGACTGTGTATAGGTGCACTGTATTTGTCTTCCAATAAAAATAGCTCTTAGGCTAGATATACTTAAATATTTGTTAATAAAATTTAAATCCATGGAAATATATGTATAAAAAATTAAATATCGCCATTACATTCAGGTATATTCAGTACAATGATATTTTTTAACAACAATCGTAAAACTAATAGGAATAACTAATTAGAAGTAGAGCATAATAATATTTATTTATTGCACTCCACAATAACTTATGAAGTTATGACATAAACATACATTTAACTTTAGGACAGTGGCGTAGCGTATAAAAATATATATTTTTATATAATATATAGAAAAATATTTGTATAAACAGTGCGAATTTTAATTTCTTAATCTCGCGTGTCAATCAGGCAATCCGTGGTATCGACGCAATCTGATTCCAATAGGGTATTTGACAACATTAAAAATTGTGGCCATGCTCTAAGATAATAGCGTAAAAGCACATATTATTTTAAATTCATTTATTTTTAACTAAATAATGTACAGATTAATTTGCAGATTACACATTATAAAATTATATATTTTTTTACATTTTATCTGTGCCGAAAGCGCCTTGTAAGTGCTTGTAACTGCAATGACGTCACACTCTAGTAAATATGGTTTTCTGTTGTTAAATTCAGTACGATAAGGTTTGTTTATATACTAGCGTGTGACGTCATACGTGGTATAATGGCGGTGTCTGACAGACACAGCGTTTTTCGTGGGGTTTCGAAATTTAACTTTGATTTTTGTTGTTAAACGTTAATAAAGAATAAATGAAAACTATTTTTAAAATTAGTCAAATACCTTATTGAATCTGATTCGGTTTCTTTAATGACTTTGGGAATGCAAAGAAACCAATAAATATGAATTTACAAACACTTACCCTTGATGACTAACCGGAAGACTGTTAAAAACTAAGCCTACTGAAATCTACGTGAACTACGAGAAATCCTTCATTAAATTTCAAGAATTCCATTGTCGACCTTTGTCACAAAGTCAAAAAAGCGTTTTTTTCTTTTCTCAAAGAAAAACCCTGTTTGAAATCTATTTATGTCATTCTTATTTAATTACCTACTACCATATATTTCTTTCGTGTAACAGTTTACTATTTAAATTTCTTTTGATTTTGTAATTTAAGAAAATGTTTAGGGATAATAAAAATTGAGGCATAATAAAAAACATCTGCCCATATGGCAACTCTTCAAGTTTTTTTGTTGAAATAATATATTCTAAAAAGTAGTTTATCTTAATAATAAAAAAACAACGTATAGATACATTTTCATGCCTTTTCAATTTCATTTGAGATTTCGTAATACTGGAACACCTACGTTTTCCTAAATTAACTTACACACGGCTGCACATTAGGCTACCACAAAATACAGTGCCCTCCTTGCAGAATATCGGGTTCTTCCAATCTACATGAGGTGAACAGCAGCGGGTTTTACCAGGTAGGCCTTCCACATTAACCTGTCCTTTTCAAGGCGGGGTGGTTGGAGAGCCCTGGTTTAAGGCTGAAGATGCATTTCCTCTGCGTTGTGAAAAAAAGCTACTACAATATGACAAATTTCTCTAGTTTATTTTAAACTCTACCTCCACACATTATTAGGTTTAAAACGAAATGAAGAAAAAAGGCTCATAAAATAACAGTACTCTTACAGTGCTCAGATTATAAAATGTCATTGGATCAGATACTAAATAATTTGAAACAACGAAGGTAAAACAATATATCCGGACCAACACAATATAGAAAAGTTCAATTTGTACTATGACCCGACTAGAAATCGAGCCCGTTACATTATAGTTGGCAACATTTGAAAACCAGCATACAAGCCCTTCGGTCATGGTTATTGGATGTGCGTATCTAAAATGCCCACAAATTAAGTATGAATGATTCCAAAATTAAAAACGACCTTACATCGTTCTCTGTTTTTTGATGATTTAGATTAGTTACATATTTTTATTGCGGTAGGTAAGTTAGAAGTTGAATAGATAATTACATTATTACACAATTTATTTGAATAATGATAACAAAATATTTTTTTTAATTCTTGAAGTGGCTTAATCTTATAAGATTGAAATAAAATTATTATGTAGGTAGATAAAGCGAGAGAGGGTGCAGGCCAATCGCGGGTGAGTGAGGAGCGCGGGGTGAAGCGTCGACACGCGCTGCACGGTCAGCGAACGTTCGAAACCGCGGTAGGTGAGGCCGGCTGGCATGAGCTTGCGCGCCCTATACAACCTTCCTCAATGCGACCGCAGCTGACCCGCGCCGGGCACGCCTGCCCACCCGCCCGCATACCTCTACCTCACTCCCGTCAGTAACCTCTGTTTCATCCGTCGCATTTATAGCGCGTGTTTCTGTAAACTCTTTTATTAAATATATCAAAAATATATAATATATATATAAAGGATACATTCGCATTCGCATTAGTACCTAATAAATGCTTTATGTAATAAAATACAATTAAGAAAGTTTCAGATAGTATTGTACAGTCAGCAGCACGTCAGGTCTGTCAAATTGGCCACTTTTCTGATGGTAAAGTTTTAAATCGATTGCAGAACTTCGACATATTATGGTAACCTTTGTGTACCTAAGACAATAAACTGTATTCATTACAAAATGTAAAATACATAGGACATTAAAACTTGTGCTTATACTTTATACATTATACGTTATTTAATGTGTGGTTACGGTATACGATTAATTTTGTAGACATTATAACTGATTTTGTAACAGGTAATATATGTTTATTTGTGGTTGTAATTGTTGTTATTCCTTTTTTTAATTATATTTATTGAGGAGGATGATGGAAACCAGGTATTTTAACGAGATAATGGAAGATTTATTTTGTCTTTTTTATATTACAATTTCAGTACAAAGAGTAAAGTATAAAACAAAAACCAAAATGACATTCTTTATAGACTAAAAGAAAAAATATTCAAAGATGTAATGAGGTGTTATCGTGCACATGATCCCTTTTATAAACTGGAAGAATAATCAGTTTCTTCAAAGGCCGATGAATCACACTCGTACGAGTCTCTACATCAACGACTCTCACCACGCCGTCTCTGCCGGGGAAAACGCTTTTTTCATTTACCCAAACGAACTTATCCAGCTCGCGCTAGTATGTAGTAAGTCACGCGTAGCCCCTTTGAAACCTAGCAGTATTTCCCAGTGGTTGTAATTGTTGTTATTACTTTTTTTTAAATCAAATTTGAAAATTATTTAAGTTTTAGTACAGTAGATA